TTCAAGAAATGGCATGTACTCGGCAAGGATCAGGTCCGAGGTCTTTATTCGGAAAAATCGGCCCATCCAACCTCGATCTCGGGTCTCATCTATGCTCGAAATGGGGGTTTTGGTGGCTCGGCGGTAAAGCTTGATCAAGCCTCTACGATAAAGCCGAGGGTTGTAGAGACGCATAAGGTGATCGAGGGTAAAAGGATGACCCTCGATCTTGCTTACAAAAAATTGAAGGAGGATCATGATCCTCCAAAATAATGGATGGATTTGGCCAAGAATGACATCGTACCTCTTGCAAAAGGTGACGATGATAGGGTCTAAGGGACCTATCGTGAAGAGGTAAGTATAGACACTCAGATACCCCTCCACATGAGTGGTGATAGATTCATCGGGGGTAGAAACTACCACGTCTTTGCCTACCCAGTTGCACTCCTCTTTCACCTTCTTGAGGAGATCGTCGGTAATAGTACATATGTACCTCGACATCAGTTCACATCGACCCGGTGTCGAGGGTGTATTCTCCACCTTAAAATCGACAGCAATGGGGCACTTTTGTTGGAACAAAGTCCTCTAGGGGAGGTTCGGCCCCGACTCCAGCAGGCTTTGATGAAGAATCGGTTTCTTTCTGCGGAACATTTTTAGATGTTTTGGCCATTTTGTTTTTGTAAGCAAGGGAGAATAGAGATTGCAGTATTTGGTATTTTGAGAAGAACAAGCAAAGAAACTCGAAAGCTAGAGGATAGGAAGCTCTGAAGAAGACAAAAAACTATGAAGATTAGAATGAAGGAGATTGAAAGTAAAGTTTGGGCTAAAAAAGGAAGATACATTTATAGGTTGAAGACGTCGCTTCAGAACCGTAGTGGCCGACAGCAACTAACAGTCATTTAATGCCTCGACATCCGAACTAACAGGACGTTTTTGTACCACTTATCGTTGATGTCATGGTAAATCAAGGGGAAGTTCGAAGACTCAATTCGTTTCTAGTCATTACACTCCAAAAAATGAGGGGACTATTTGTATACGGTCAAAATCGGGCTTGCCTAATTTTGTATGGCTACCCGAAACCGGGGTGGCAAACCAAGGCTCGGCCTCGCATTATATCTAACCATGGTACAGAGATGGATTGCTAAGCTTGTGACTCTATGGCCGATCAAGATCGAGACGGAAGCGAGAAAGAGAACGAGCGAGATCAAAGGAAGCCTGCTAAGTCGAATAACAGAAAAAAAAATCGAAATATCCGTGATCGGGCAAGGATCGTGGCGGAAATCTCAGGCACGTATCGAGTCAGGATCGGTTATTTAGCCAATCATGGAATTTCCTTCCGTATTTAGAATTGTGCCATAAGTAGAATTCCTCTACTATATAAATGGGGTTCTAATCATTTTGTAATCATCATATTCACGCATAACAAAGCAATACATTCATTTTCTCTCTTAAAGTTCTGTTCAGTTCATATTTGCCATTAGTATACTCAGTTGGTTCGAGGGCGATCTAGCTCGAGGGTCATAATCGTTCACTATGTTGGTTTGCTTTATTTTACAGTTAATTTCCAATATTAGTTGTCATATTTCTCAATTTGTGCCAAGTGAAATCGCATATCCTTAAAATCACTTATAAGTTTAATTGTTATCCAATTTTAAGGGTAAACAAGTTTATTTTTCCCAAAAAAAAAAAAAAAAAAAGTTAGACGAAGTTTCAAGAAACCGAATAGGACGGATGTGCTGAAAATTGACTGTTGAGTGGCTATATGATTAGGCATGTAGGCATGCTGATAGGGAAGAAAGATGGTCCAGTACGTGTGGAGTTGCCAAAATCGCCAAATCCGATAATAAAAAAACATGCATTCCATTTAGAGCCTGTTTGGGTTAGCTGATTTAGAGCAGCCGATAAGCAATAGATGCTGAAAAGTACTTTTAAGTGTTGAAGTTGATTTAAAAAATAAGCAGTTACGTGTTTGGATAAAAGTGCTGAAATTAATAATAAGTAGTTGAAGAACTGGGTATACGAGGAGTTTTGTTTTAAAAAAAAAGTATTTTAGGGATAGAATAGTAAATATTTTGGTCAAACCTAAAGTGCTTATAAGCTGAAATTTGATAAGTTGGGGGAGACCAACTTATGGCTTTTGGCTTATTTTTGGCTTATAAGCACTTAACTTATAAACACTTTTAATTTTACCAAACGCGTAGATAAGCCAAAAAGTACTTATAAGACAGTTTGACTAGCTTATAAGTTTAGCCAAACACCCTAATCGTTTTTTCCTAAATATGTCCTCTTCCACCTTCCCCCTTTTCTCTTTTTTCTGTTCCTTTTTCTTTTATCTTTAAATTTTGGAACTTAATTTATGATTAAGAACCTTTCATAACTCACTAGAGGTTCTTTTGGTCACGAATGACCTTGTTATAACATTTTGAACAAGAAATATGACCTTGTTTGACTTTTGACTTTTGACTTTTGACGGAAAAAAAGAACCAGTTTTTCTCTAACGATTTAAACAGTTTTATCCCCTAAATAAATAATTAGTGTTACAGAAAGGCAAAACGACAAATGGCAGTTTCAGGACTTTTCTCAGCTAATTTGGACATATCACGTCTAAGAAAACTTGTATCACAATAGAAGGCTCATGTATTACGTGGATAAAAGATAAGACCAAAGCAGAAAAAAGAATATTAAATTCTTAATAATAATCATTCTTATTAAGACAACATTTACAAGTGATTATAAGGATCCCATTATTCTTAATAAGAAGTTTTAGATTTGAGCCTTAAAAATAAAATAAAAATTTACTAGGAACGGTTTAACCTTATTTAGTGGATTTATCCGGTTCAAAACTAAATTAGCGGGCGCGTTTCGGAAATGGAATGATTGAACTATGGCTGTCCAACGGGACGGGCCGTCCCGTCCCGCATCCTGTCCGAGCCTGGCCCGGCCCGGCCCACTTCATTCTAAACGGGATGGGCCCATGTTAAACGGGACAGGGGATGGGACGGGATGGCCATTTCTTCCCGTTTGTCCCGTCCTGCCTACCCCGCGTAATTATTATTATTTTTTTTTTTGAATTCTAGCCGTTGGGCAACGGCTTCAATTGCAAAAATAGCCGTCCCAAACGGCCAAAACGGGCTATAATTGGCCTCCACCCCCTAAACACCCCCTACCCCCCAAACTTTTAATATAATCCCTAAGTTTATTAATTACACTTTGGCCCTCTTTTCTACTATAAATACCCTCATCCTTCTTCATTTTTTCCCATAAAAAATCAATCATTCTCTCTCAAATCTCTTACATTCTATCTATATTATTCTCTCAATTTTGTCACTATCAAGTGATAACTTTCAAGTATTTGGGCAAATTTTTGGAGCAACTTTCAAGCTTCAAATTAATTCGTCGAGTATTTGGAGCAATATTTTGGGCAATTTCTTCAAGTTTCAATATTTAATCACGGTGCACTCGTTCCGTCTCCTGGTTTTAATATATAATTTTTGCGTATCATTTTAGTGCTTAATTTTTGTTTTTACTTTACGTGTTCTGTTTCCGTATTTCATTTGTGTGTTTGATTTTTGTGTTAACTTTTTTAATTTAATTTCGTATTTAAATTATGGCACCTAAAAATGTATTTGGCATGTTTAAAAAAAGTAGTAAAAAAAATAGTAAAGGTGAAAGTAGTAATAATCCTAATCCTTCTCCTAGAATTAGAAAACATATAGATGAAATGACTCATGTTGATGAAACTTCATTTCCCAACTCCCGCATGTTATAATATTAATTTCGGAGAACAACTAGATCATGAAACTTTACAAAGACAATCAATGATATTTTTTTGAGGACGAAGAAAAAGAGGAAGAAGAATTAGACGAAACACCCACTAGTCCCGCAACAGAAGCTCCAACTCAGAGTCAATCTCGGTCTAGAGCTTTACCCCATGTACCTCCTGTAAGGGGTAAGCCTAAGGCTGAATGTCCCAAAACATCACTTGTATGGAAATTTTTTAAACATGATAAAGTCAATCACTGTGCTGTATGTGAAAAATGTAAGCAACAATTTGCACACACAAAAAGTGGTGGGATGGGTTTTAACCAGACACTTACTTAAGGAGCACAAATCTTTATGGATACAAGCTAGCATAAAAGCTGGAAAAATTATGGATCCTAGCACCGGTACTTGCACTCCTAGTGGATCTAGCGGGGGTTCTAATTTTGTACAACAACAGCTTGACCTTGCTTCTGGTACTAGTTCAAACAGAACCCTTCCTAGAAGGTGGCTGCGTAGACTTGTGCTCTTCAAAAGAATTATATTTGTATGTGAGATTTGAAAGTTTTATTAATAAAATAAAAGGCTCTAAGCGTTGAAATTTTTTTATGAATTATCTTAGTTACTTAATAGTTTGAAATTGTATTAAATAAATTATAACTCTATTATAATTACTAGAATATTTCATTACAAGTCTTCTGTTTTAATATTTTATAATTCTTTACTTAGTTTCCTAGTTTCCATTTTAACATTAAGTTTATTAAATAAGTAAAAAAACTAGCCGTTGCAAACTTTAAAAACTTAGTCATTGTCAAGAAACTAGACGTTGCCAAACTTAATGCTTAAATTTTTTTTTAAACTGCACTTAAGGCCCACGAACCCGTCATGTCCCATCCCGTCCCGTCTCATCCCGTCCCGTCTCATCCCGTTTGTTAGCGGGTCCCGTTTCGTCTCGTCCCGCCACTGTCCCGGCTAAATATTATCACGTCCCGTTAATTTTGTCCTGTCCCACCCCGTCCCGTTGGACATCCATACATTGAACTGAAAGCAATGACGCGAGGCTGATTATTGTACACCCAACCTAATGGACCAAACCCTAAAACATTTTTAGCCAAAAACTGAGGTCGGCACTAACAAAAATGGGTCATACTATTTTTTATCAATTATCAACTCAATTAAATAGAAACAGACACCCAAACACCTCATCAACTTCCAAAAAAAAAAAAAAAAAGAGTTTCTTTCGTGTCCACACAACACCACACATGGTTTAACTTCCCCGAAAACCCCTCAAATAATCCTTGAATATCCCCATCATTCTTTATAACTAAAAACCAAAAAGCAAAACTTTTCAAGAAATATTTTAAAAAGTAGCCCCTATATATATGTGATGTGAATATACATTCATGTTATGTGTCTATGTGTTAGGAACAAGAAGATTAATTACCAGTTCAACAACAAGAAGAAGAATAGTACTTAGTTTTTTCTTGAAGTTTGTGAGGTTGGTAAGCTAGTTATTTTCAAACCGATATTATAAGTAGCAGTTGAGATAAAAAAGGAGTCTTGCAAATAAAGCTTCTGTTATTTCTCACCTATATACACACACTAGGCAAGAGTTGTTTACTTTATTCATACAGTGGAAAGGTGACTTTAATCGGTTCTGTTCTCTGTTTGTTTTTGTTGTCAAATGTATCAGGTTGTAAACTGTGGTTTCCTAATTGGGTACGTTAGAAGGTGAAGAACTCCAAACACCTCTTTATCGAATTATCTTCTCCTTCTTCAAGTTCTGCAACAATTGTAGATTATACCAAAATGGTGAGTCTTGTTTTTTCAGTTTCAACCCTGTTTTCGTTTTTGTTTTCTGGCAACTGTTTTATTGAATTCTTGAAACTCTGCTATTTAAAAATTTCCCAGCTAAGAAATTTTGGATATGAATTTGCAGGAAAATATGAGTGCTGAGAAACAGAGGTTATATGGAGAATTTGAAGAAAAGGGGTCTCAGGAAATTTGTGTTTCTGATCATATAAATGGATTGCAGTACACAAGCACAAAATCAGATAGCTTTGTTGTGGACATGGAACGTTTTTCTCATATCATAGAGAAAGATATAAATGCCAATTCAAGAATTACTGTAAGTTCCCTTTATTTTTGCTAAATCTCTTTTCCCTGAATACTTGTTTGTCCTCTGCACATATACTCTGTTTCTCCTGAAACCTTTGACACCATCACAAGTTATTTTATGGTTCAATTCAACATCAATCAATTTCACAATTCATGTTTATCCTAACTAATTTGTTAAAGTAGTGAGAACAGAACTCATTATTGGTCAATTTTTTGTTTACTTGGACTAAGTCTAAGTACTACTTTATTTTATTTTATTTTATTTTGAAAGAAAATGGACGCTGGTGAAGAATAAGATGATAAATTTGACTTTGGAAAATACTGAAAAAGTTGTACTACATGATATTGCAAAAGCTGGGAGAATATGCTTTTTAACGTTTCTGATATGATTTTGATTGAAAAAGTTGCAGAGGAACCTTTCAAGGAAAGGATCATTTCGAAGCGGCGAGAGGAAAACATATTCAAATGCTGCCAATGAGAAAGACACTAATTTCACGACAAATTCCCCTAGAGGTATATTATCATTTATTTGAATAATAATAAATAAAAACAAAGAGTTGTGTTTTTCTTTCTAGGTCTAGGATCAAAGTAAGAAGCTGTGTGATTGGGTGCTCTCAAGATGTACACATTGTTTGTTATTAATGGTAATTCACAATGTTACCAAAAAAAAAGAAAAAACAAAGAGGTGTTAGAAACAAAGATATCAACAAATTTGTATTTGTCTGCATGCGTTTCTGTCGTTAAAGGTATTTAACGGTCAAGAATGAAAGGAAAAGACTATGACGACCCCTTCGATATTTTCTCAATCATAGAACTTTCAAATTTTCACCGTCCGTTTCAAAAAGATTGTCTTAGTTTAACTTGATATAAATTTTAAAATAAAGAAGGGAAGACTTTTAAGATATATAATTTTAAATAATTCATAGCATTTGTGTGACTATAAAACTTTTGAAACTTATGGTCGGAAACCTGCCATAGTATTTCTGATAATTTTTATTATGAAAATATTAAAAAGTGTCAATCTTTTTGGAAAATACTAATAAGGAAATTATGTCAGTCTTTTTGAAACAGAGGGAGTAAAAGGAACCGGATTATTCTCTCTATTTATTACTCTTTGTACTAATTTTGGTCGTTTAATACATATCAATAGTTTACTATTTCTATCTCAATTTATGTGGCAGTGTTTGATTATGCATAAAATGAAAAAAAAAAACTTTTAAAATTGTAGTCTAAAGAAGTCATATACAATTCTATGGCTATAAATCTATCTTATAAAGGAAAAAATAAAAATTAAATTTAAATTATTTTAAGAAGTATGTCATTCTCTTTAGAACATACTAATAAAAATGATAATATGAAGACGGGAGAATATCTTTTTCTCAATTTTGTAAATATTTATTATCCGAGGAAGAGTTCACCTTTCACACTCTACCCCCAAGGATTTAAAAATATCTATAGCATTTAAAACAAAATGTCAACTTGATCAGCCATATTTGGCTTCACGTGAAACATATCACGTACCACTCAATGCAATCTCATTGTCAAATATTCAGCTATATCTGTATTCTGGTATTTCGATTCCTCTAATGTTTAGAGTAATTACGTAACACTACTAACTTGGATAAAGTTTACAATTATAGAGAAATTAAGCGACGACCGTGCCTAAATACGTAACATAGTAACAAACAACCTATTCTCACTCAAAAATATCAATGTGGGTAAATCTGCTTGATTTTTTGTCTGATCATATGGCAGTATTACAAGATACAGATTTGTCTTTACTAAGTATTTTAGTAAATTAGCTAGCTGCCTAGGTGTTTCCTATGGTAATCATAATGTATAATCTAATTGGCCATTAGTTCGTATTCAATGTATAATTGCCTAGCCCTCGAGTTTCAGAACCTTCATTTTCTTCTATTTTTGGTGTTAGTGGGTTTGAAATAAATATAATTCATTATGTACATAATATAAAGTTCAAGGTAAGAAGCAGCAAGTGGATATCCGTAAGTTTATCTACCCTGGTGTGATCAGTATTGCAAGATTTAATTGCTGAGATTGCTAATAATTTATTTACCTAAAGCACGGGGTCTAATTAAAGTTTATATGGTCCCAGCTGTACAATGAATGAATAAAATCCAAAAGATAGCATATAAGAATGAATGTGACGGATAATTAGCCTATATATGGTGTCAATTTTTCATATGAATAATATTACGCTTAGAGCTTTAGTTAGATGAAATAATATAAAAGTATGGTCGTGCAGAGTGTCATTCCTTTTTGTTTGCATTCATAGTATAAACTAAAATGGTGGTTGCCCACATGCATGATAATAATTGAGTGATAAAGAAACAAGCCAACACATATTTTTGGCTATATTCTGAATGTCATTTTTAAAATGGAAAAAAATGCAGCTTCATTGCTAGGAGGAGGTATTAGCACGCCAGAAAAGCCCATGGCATTGGCTATTGTGGGGACTACTGATCAACCTACCCCACAAACCCATAATCAGATCACTATAGTGGCCGGCCATAGCGGCGCCACCGCCACCGCCACCGAAAGTAAAATTAGTGGTAGGAGATTCAGTTTCCGACGCACTTCTTCCGCTTCTAATTGGTCCATTGATCCCAGGAGAATTCTTCTCTTCTTTGCTACCTTGTGAGTTTTCTCTTAACCAACCAAAGACTTATTTAACTTCTTTATATTTATCGTGTATTTGTGTATAATAATTTGCACCATCAGGTTAAAAAAATATATTTAACTTTATCCTAATTTATGTGGCATCATTTGACTAAATACAAAATTTAAGAATAAAAGAATTTATTTGTAACTTATGGTCTAAAACAAAATTTTAGACAATTATGTGGCTATAAATTGGGTAAAGGAAATTTTTTAAACTTAAATTTTTTTCTGATCATAGAAAAGTACTACTCCCCTCTTTAAAAAGGATTGACATTATTTCTTTATTAGTGTGTTAACTTTCAATATTTCATTAATAAGAATCATTTATAGCTACATAAATATTATGGCAAGTTTCGGATCACAAGTTTCAAAAGTTTTACAGCCACACAAATACTATGACTTATTTAAGACCACATATCTTAAAAGTCTTCCCTTCTTTATTAATGTTTGTGCCAAGTCAAACTAAAATAATCTCTTTTTTTTAAAAGTATTATTTTTTGCGGTCTTAAAAAGTGCCACGTAGAATGGGACATAAAAAGTATTGCAAAAAGGGTCAATTATGATTTTGACGAAATAATACAATTTTCTTGCTTAATCTAAATTTTAATTAATATGGTAGTGCCCTGTATTTGACAGGTCAAGTATGGGAACAATGCTATTGATCTATTTTACATTATCTATAGCCAAGCTCAATGGAGAAGACAGTACTCTTAGTGGATGATAGAGACACGAAAAAGAATGGAAAGAACAAGGCACCGGTTCTAACTAAGAAGCCTGTATAATGTAGAAGCAGAACAAGAGACATAATTAATCATCATAATTTGATTATGGATTTTAACAGAGTTTAGTACAAAGATGGTGGAACAGAGGAAGAAGTATAAAGGGGGCAGTACTCAGAAATTAAAGAGCTAAAACTACAGATAGAACTTCCATTATAGCAGAGGTTCAGAAGACAGAATGTACGTATCACTTTCATCAAAGCAGCGTGACAAAGATTTGCATTATTCTACAGCATTGAGTGCCAGAGATCGGAAATTCATGACTACCTTTTCTTTGTTAGGTTCTCTTTTTGTAACATTTGGCCGAGTTTAGTGGAGAATCAAATGTTTACCTTTTGCTATCTTGCTCTCCCTTTTTTGTTTCGAGTTTAAGTTCCGTAAACCTTTAGTGTCAAAAATATGTATATAATCATGTCAATTATAAGATAATAGCAAGTAAATGTATACCATTAGAAATAATCTGATCCTGTAAAAATCTTTATAATGTTACGAGTAATGTATAATTTAAAACATATTGTTGGGCAGGCAAGACGGTTCAAGCTCTGTTAGATTGAAGCAATCGAATGAGAATCCATGGATTTTACAGAAGGAAGCCCTAATTCGAATGTTCTAGAGAGAAGAAGATGCAGAAATTCATTTCTGTATATTGAAAGAATAATATCTGTGTATACAAAAATAGCCTAATGGAGTATTTATACTAAGCTAATAAAAGAATGGCTAAGCTAATAAAAGAATGGCTATCTATTACATATGTGGCTAAGTATACAAATAACATTTACATAACTTTGTACAATTGTCAAGTGTTTGGGCCTGGATCTATTTCTTCTTCAGCAATCTTTGGGCCTGTAGGAATTGGGCCATTTAATTCTTTTAATCCAACACTCCCCCTCAAGCTGGAGGGTGAGAGAACTCCCAGCTTGGATAATAAAAGTTGATGTTGAAGGCCTGTGAGGGGTTTGGTAAGAATATCAGCCAGTTGTGAGGCAGTAGGAACATAATGCAAAAAGATGAGACCACTAGCAAGCTTCTCCCGGACAAAATGGCAATCAAGTTCAATGTGTTTGGTCTGCTCATGTGAGACAAGGTTCTTGGCAATGCTAATGGCTGACCTGTTATCACAATATAAAGGAATAGGAGCAGAAATAGAAATACCCAAATCAGCTAACAGCCTGACAAGCCATTTAAGCTCAGCAACAATCTTTCGAAGGGCTCTGTATTCAGCTTCAGCAGATGATGAAGATACAGTAGGTTGTTTCTTAGATTTTCAAGTGATAGGACTACCCGCAAGAGCGACATAATAACCAGACACAGATCTCCTGGAAGAAGGACACCCTGCCCAGTCTGAATCCGAGTAAGCAATGAGGGAGAAGTCCTTATGATTGTTAAGAAGAACACCCCTGGCAGGATCTCTGACCAAATACCTCAAAACATGCAGAGTTGCTTGCATATGAGCAGATGTGGGGGCATGGAGAAACTGACTGAGATGCAGAACAGAGAAAGAAATATCAGGTCGAGTATGTTGGAGAAAATTTAGCTTTCCTATAAGCCTTCGATAAGTGGAAGCATCAGGTATCACCAGAAGAAGGAGTAAGCTTGGTAGACTGATCCAAAGGAGCAGCAACAGGAGAAGCAGAAGCACAATGAAATTCAGTAAGAAGTTCCCGGAGGTATTTATGTTGATTAATCAGCAAACCTTGAGGCAGATGAGACTCCTCAAGCCCCAGAAAATAATGGACAGAACCCAAGTCCTTAATTTTGAACTGAGAGTCCAAAAATGCTTTGATAGAATCCAACTCAGATGTATCATTCCCCACCAAGATAATATCATCCACATAAACAACAATAAAAATAGAAGAAGAGGGGGTGATTTAGAAAATAGAGAGTAGTCATCTAGACTGGAGGAATACCCCAAAGAGGTGACGGCAGTAGAAAGCTTAGCAAACCATTGTCTGGAAGCTTGCTTGAGGCCATACAAGGATTTCTTCAGTTTGCATACTAAGGGAGGCCCAGAAGAAGAGGAGGAGACAGTAAGACCAAGAGGAATTTTCATGTAAACCTCCTCAGAAAGATTCCCATGCAGAAATGCATTGTTTACATCAAGTTGATATATAGACCAAGAGAATTTGGCAGCTAAGGCAAGTAAGCATTTAGTGGTAGTAAACTTGATGACAGGGGAGAAGGTCTCAAAGTAGTCAATACCACCAGCCTGTTGATTATCTCCCCTAATAACCAATCTAGCTTTGTATCTGTCAATGCTGCCATCAGATCTTTGCTTAACTTTATACACCCACTTAGAAGGAATGGCTTTCTTGCCAGGAGGTAAAGGCACAATATCCCAAGTTTGGTTAGATTCCAAGGCTTGAAATTCTTTTAACATTGCTTCTTGCCAAGCAGGATTGGAAGCAGCCTGATGGTAGAAGGAAGGCTCAAATAAGGTGTAGGATTTAAGGGGCTGAGAGAAAGTGGATGGATCAGGAAAGGAAGTAGGAGGTACAGCATAGCAGATGTAGTCCTGAAGGTGGTGAGGAACAGTGGTAGGCCTAGAAAATCTTCTCAAGGGAAGGGAAGAAAGAGGAGGAAGTGGTGTGGGTGAAGGTACAGAATCAGGTTCAGGAGAATGAGAAGAAGAGTATAGTCGTGATGAAACAGTAGGAACAAGATCAGAAGACTGTAATGGTGAAGAAGTAGAAGTGGTAACATTGTTAGGAATGATGTGCTCAGAAAAAGAAGAAGTAGAGGAAGGAAAGAAACCAGAGGGTGGAGAATTGGATAGAAATATGTGTTCAGCAAATGTGACATCCCTGGAATAAAAGATGGACTTGGAATAAAAGATGGACTTGGTACGAGATCACAATCATTTGAAAAAAATTCAGATAGGAGTTGAGGCAGTTAAAGGTATCGTTTTTAAGGTTTATGAAAATAAGAGAGAGTGCCACTAAGGAGACAATAAAAAAATGAGCTTAGAAGTAACCTGTACTATGCCACTAAGTATAAGTGTATTAGGTAATACTGTGTCGATATAAGCTTATATATATATAATAAATATGTAAACTTTACGCTATATTATGCATAAGTAGTA